AAGAAGAGGAAATGGGGCAGGCTTCTTGCTATTATTTTTAATTTTATTATAGTCAGCGCACTGGAGGAGCTACATCTGAGGCTGTCTAATGGTCTTAATCAAGGCCTGAGAGGCTGATGCTTGCCTTTTTAGAGTGTGTAGAGCTGGATTCTGGTTGAAATCTGTTTGCAGGAAAGCCAGACTACAACAGAGTAGTCTGTGGGACTGAATTGGCTGCGCCCACACCAGACAAAATAAGATTTCCGGGTTCAATAGTAGATATTTCTGGAAGTGGCCTTTCTTGCGTTAAGCAAGGTAGGAATCTCAGACTCAAGAATTTCTCGATTCTTTAACAACTGGGTTTAAACAGCCATGCTGTTAAAGCCAGGGGGTGTGATGCACAGAGTCTTGAGACAGAAGATCTGACTTGTTGGGAAGTGGCCAAGGATTGTCTACTAGAAGTTTGATTATAGACATAAATTAGCCTGAACTGAGACCATAGGATAATCAGAGCATCCGAGGACAGAGCTAATGGATCTCTGGGTCTAACAACAAATAGAGGTAGCTTGCTGTTATGTCTGGAGGTCAGGATGTCCACATCCAAAGTCCCCCATCTTTGGCATTTCAGATTGAACACATTTGGATGAAGAGACCATTCCCCTTGGTCCAAACAGTGGCAGCTAAGAAAATCCATCTGCCAGTGGTGCACTCCTGACATGTGGACTGCAGAGATTGCTAGGCAGTAAGTAGCTGTCCATGAGAGTATCTGGGTTTCTTTCAAGGCAACCAGGCTTCTCGTGCCCACCTAATGATTGTTTTATGCCACTGTGATGGTATTGTCTGACTGCACCTGAATTGGGTGTCCCTTTATTTTAATTTATTTCAGGTACCTATATAGCGCCGTCAATTTATGCAGCGTTTACATATATATTGTACATTCACAGTCCATAACCCTGAAGGGGTGTACAGTCTAAGGTCCCTAATTTACATTCATATACTAGGGCCAATTTAGACAGGATCCAATTAACCTATATGCATGTCTTTGGAGTGTGGGAGGAAAATGGAGTACCCGGAGGAAACCCATGCAGGCACAACGAGAACATGCAAACTCCAGGCAGGTGGTTCTGTGGTTGGGATTTGAACCAACAACCCTAGTGCTGTCAGGCAGATGTGCTAACCATTTAGCCACTGTGCTACCCACTTCAATTGGTGGATTTTTTTTTTTGAAGGCTGTGATCTCCTTCTGTTCTGAAAGCCTTAAAGAAGTCAAACCAGAGCATTGATGTAATCTGAGGAATAAGCATCAATAACATTAAGTAACAAACGTTACATTTTCTGCCTAACAATAAACCAATGGTTAACCACTTCCACGCCACCCTATAGCAGAAATACTGCTACAGGGTGGCACAGGTGTGCAAAATTACGTATATACATGATTCACACTCCCACGGTTTTGGAATCCTCCTATCCCCTCAAAGCACTTTTCAGGTCCTTCATTCACCTCCCTCCCTGTCCCTCTCCTCATTTGACGTTCACTGTATTCATCTATTCTCTCCAGTTTCTTTAAGAATTGCTGATCTATCGGCCTCCTGGACTAGTATCAAGCTTCCTTGATGACTTCTCTGCCTGGCTGCCTTACTTTCTCTCTTCTGAAATTCCCACAATCATTCTCGTTGACTTCAACATCCCTGTTAATCTTAACACTCCTGCTAACTCTAAACTTCGAGCCTAACCACTTCTTTTGACCTAAAACAATGGAAACATGCTTCTACTCACTCTAATGGCTACTGCATCAACCTTTTATTTTCCTACCTATGCACTCCTTGCAACCTCACCAACTTTCCTTTTCCTCTCTCTGATCACTCCCTTATTAGTTTCACTCTCTCCTTGGCTTCCTCCTCCTTGCTTCCAACTACTGAACAGTTACCTGTAGAAACCTTCGCTATCTTAACCCTTTTCCTCTTTTTTCTGCAACAGATTGGCTCTATGACAAAATCTCAGCCCTGTGCTGCCCCAACCTGGCCATGTTTGTCTAAACAGTTCACTGTCATCCACCATGGACACATTGGCCCCCCTGACTACACACAGAATTAGGACCCGACCACTACAGCCCTGGCAAACAGAATACCAGATGGCTCAAAAACCGTAGCCGTGCTCTTGAGCGTTTATGGCGTAAGACTAAGACCTAGAAAGACTTCAACCAATATAAATCTGCCCTTCAAAAATACAATTCCTGTCTCAACACTGCCAAACAGACCTATTTTATCACTCTCATTAACACGTTCTCACGCAACCCACGTCAACTCTTTTCTACCTTTAACTCTCTACTTTACCTCCACACACTAACTCACTGCCCAGGAGATCGCTAATCACTTTAAAAATAAGACTGATACAATTCTTGGTGAGATGTCCACTGTACAGATATCTCCCTCACCCTACACTCCTTGTCCACCTGCACAATCTATACTTCCCTTGTTTAACCCAGCTACTATAGAGGAGGTTGGTAAACTTTTTTCTAAAGCCCACCTGTTTCCTGAACCCTGTTCCCTCGCATCCTTCACTGTTTAACTCATATCTTCAATCTCTCCCTTTCTATTGGCTTCTTCCCCAACTCCTAAAACATGCTCTAGTCACCCCCATACTTAAAAAGGCCTCAATGTACCCTACCAATCTTTGCACCCTAAGACACATCTCCTTACTCCCTTTTGCCTCCAAACTCCTTGAACGTCTAGTCTACAACCGTCTAGTCTGCAACCACCCTCAACACTCCACAGAAACTGCTCTCCTAAAATTCACAAATGATTTACTAACTGCTAAAACCAATGGTCACTATTCCGTACTCTTACTCTTGGACCTCTCCGCTGTCTTTGACACAGTTGACCAATCCCTCCACCTCAAAAAACTCTATTTACTTGGTCTCCGTGACTGTACTTTCCATTGGTTCGAATCTTACTTATCTCACCGCATCTTCAGTGTCACGTTGTCACAACTCTGTGTCACAACTCTACTTTCTCCTCTTCTACTCCTCTTACCGTTGGGGTCCCCCAAGAACCTCTCTTATTCTCTATCTACACTTTTTCCTTGAGTCAGATGATAGCTTCCCATGGTTTCCAATACCATATCTCTCAAATCTATCTCTCTACTCCTCAGGTATCACTGATTTACTAACAGACATATCAGACTGGATGTCACACCACTTCCTAATATTCAATCTATCCAAAACTGAGCTCATAATATTTCCTCCACCACGTGCCTCTTCCCCTGATTTCTCGGTCAGGATCAAAAGCACAACTATCAACCCATCCCTGCATGCCAGGGTGCTAGGAGTAACCCTGGATTCTGAACTATCCTTTCAGGCCCACATACAATCCCTGTCAAAATCATGCCGCCTCAACTTCCGCAACATCTCCAGAATATGCCCCTTTTTAACCAATGATACCACAAAGCTCCTAATTCACTCCCTGGTTATTTCTCGCCTCGACTACTGCAACTCCCTCCTCATTGGCTTACCTTTACATAGGCTATCCCCCCTCCAGTCCATCATGGATACTGCTGCCAGGCTCATGCACCTTACCTACCATTCAGTGTCTGCTACCCCTCTCTGCCAATCCCTCCACTGGCTTCCACTCGTCCAATGAATAAAATTCTAAATACTAACAACAACTTACAAAGCCATCCACAACTCTGCCCCCAGCTACATCACCAACGTGGCCTCAAAATATCAACCAAACTGCTCTCTTTGATGCTCCCAAGACATTCTGCTCTCTAGTTCCCGTGTCGCCTCCTCCCATGCTCACCTCCAGGACTTCTCCTGAGCTTCTTCCATCCTACGGAACTCCCTACCCCAATCTGTCCGACTGTCTTTTAATTTATCCACCTTTCGACGATCCCTGAAAACCTTTCTCTGTAAAGAGGCCTATCCTGCTTCTAACTAGTAAACTACCTTTTTTTCCTCCATCAGCTCATCCCCCACAGCCATTACCTTTTGCCTCACTCAACCCTTCCTTCTAGATTGTAAGCTCTAATGAGCAGGGCCCTCTGTTTCCTCTTGTACCAAATTGTATTGTAACTGTAATGTCTACCTTCATTTTGTAAAGCGCTGCGCAAACTGGCGGCGCTATAGAAATCCTGTATAATAATAATACTATAAACTGGAACAGGGTTGAGACATATTAGTCAAATTGTAAAATATGTGCTTCCTCCTGTAGCATTTCTGTATGCCACTGAGTAGGTGAAAGCACGGTTCCTCAGTGTGTGACAGCAGCTGTAAAACAAGGTTGGAAGTGTGATGGTTTGGGGCTCATTTGCTGACTGCAGAGTTCACAACTTGAACAAAGTGACTGGCAACCTGAACCAAAATGCCTACAACAGAATTTTGCAGCACCATGCAAAACCTGACCAACAATGCAAAAACATAGTTGGTCAGGGGTCAACCTACAGATAATGGCCCAAAACTTACCTCCACTAATCTATTAGGAGTGTGAAAGCCCACAAGCCTTGCTAGTGATTTTAAACACCTTTAATAAAGAAAAGATATCACATTCACATGAACTAGATATAAGTGGAACATATAATTTTTGTACCAGTCCAAGTTTGGCTCTATAGTCCCATGGCATGGTAAGTAATAGAATTGGCAAGAACCTCAGACAGCCAGAACTGAAAATGATTGGGAAACCAGCCAACACACACTGTGTACAGTGAGATTCAGGCAATTACTTCCCCCTTCAGTGTGTACTGCTGATCTGGGTAAGTAGAATTTTTGTAATGGGTGCAAGAATACATGCAGACATAGACCCACGCTCAAACACTTGGAACAATAAGAACACGTATTAAATAGTATTGTAAAATTATATGCTCCTGTAGGTGTTCAAGGCATAATCCACACACTTATTCAGGGCACACCCAAATGGTATTAAGCAAAGAGATAATTATAAAAGTATGTGGTCTAACTACATGCCAATAATTAACTACTGTATATAAAAGGGAATTCTGAATCTGTTTATTGCAGTCTGATATCAGTCAGTAAACTGAGCTTCGAGACCCATCAAAGGAAGAGCTACATAAAGATAATGGAAAAAATCCGTGATCAGGTACTTTTTATTTTTTTTAGAAGGTATTATTTAGATTTTCCATATAAAACCCAATTAAGTGCTAAATTCTAAGTATTAAGGCATTTATTGGCTTTTTAATCTATTCAGGCGTAAGAAACAATAGCTAATCTAGGGACTGTTATCTGTAATGCTAGGAAATCTGAATTAGATATACTGTATTTTCACCATTTGATGGAGGCAAGTACTTACTGTAGTAAAAAAACTATTTCAGCAATATTATTAATTTAACAGTGGGTAGACTGAGGAATGACTTTGGAAAACACTTCTGAACGATGGAAACTGACTGCTGGAGAATGTAGGTTAAAAAACGTCTGTTTAGCTGCGTTTGCATACCTCATTTATGTGCGTTTGCAATTTGAAGCGTTTTTTTTAAAGATAACATCAGGAGACCTTCCAAAATGCCCAGAATGCACTGAAAAACAGTAAAAAATTAACTGTTTCAGACATTTTAAGAGAAAAGGATAGAAAGTAGGCCTTGAAAGAATTTTAAGGGCCGTAGGCAAATCTCACTTAGGAAACAAGGATTTCCTGGGAGGTCTTTACTTCATGTAATCCTTTATGAATTGCATCACAAAGCATTAAGGATCCATTGAAACCCAGTAACTGCAGGCAAGGCTGAAACTTGAACATTAAACATATATGAACCTAACCTAGGCCCTTGTCCAGACCCGGTTGTAAGAACTGCAGAACGTTCACTGATTCTGGTGATAAAGAACTCCCAGCTTTTTGCTCCTTCAGATCTGAAAATTTTACCCATATCTCTGGTAAGTCTTATTCATGGAGACCTCTCTAGCTTGAAGCAAGGTAATCACTATCTGCACTGAAAACCCTTCACTTGGTAGTCTCCGCCCCTCAACCTCCATGCCATCGAATGTAGTCTCTTGTGGCTGGATGGCAAAAACTGGCCTTGAGAGAACAGATCTGGTGTTACTGGCAGAGACAATGATGACCCTCCTTGGGCCAAAATGGTATAATTGCAATTATCGATACTGGCAGTCTAAGAAGTGCGCCCTTCCGCTCTTCGATGAATCGAAGCTCATTCAACTAATAGTCACACTTCCAACGTCAGGGTTCAACTCCTCATTCACACTGCCTCTGTATGTATGCAACTGCCATTTATTTGTCTAGGCACAGTACAATGTTGTTTCTCTTATCAATGGAAAGAATGCCAGAAGAATCTTGAACGCAGCTCTCAGTTCTAGAGCATTTGATACTATGCTTCATGAACTAAGCATCCCAGGATCTTGAGCAGCCTTCTCCTTGAAATGTGCCCCCCCAATCTGTCTGTCTGGCATCTGACATGATAATGTTCCATTCATAAACATAAATTGATCGATTAAGAAGACCCAAGGATCCAGCATTTTTCTGCTGGAAGAGATTTTGCTCCCAAACCATATGTGACTTTCTCTATCAGGAGACAGAACATGCCTCGTGTAAGTTTTACTGAATTTTTCTGTGTACACCAAAATGCCCCCCAAAACATTATTCTTTGGATTGAGCAGAGGAAACATTTCTTCCCATTGATTAGTTACCAAAAACTTTGTAGCAGAACATCCAAATGCTGGATAAGCACCTCCCAATTGCTGGCTAGAAGAAGGATGCTATCCAAGTAGTGGTGTATTATTATCCTCCTCGCTATTGCAGACAGTAAGACCTTTGTGAATGTCCTGGAGAAGGTGGACTGACAGAAAGGAAGGTGTAGCAATCGTACCCACAGAGATGGATGCGGTTCAACCATTTTTCTCCAACCTCCATCTTGGCAAAGGATCACCCATATTGTACAAATATATCTTTCCTCATCCCCCTGTGTGTTGGAAGTGTCATAGGTAGGCCAGAGCACAGCAGGCAGCTCCGAGCTATAAAACCTCTCTGAGCTGGGTGCCAGGCGGTCTAAGAAACTGTGCAATCTGGCACCTCGTAAAAGGATAACCCAAGCCTTCTCCTGAGTTTAAAGACATTCCAGGGGAGTCATAAACTAGATACACTTTTAAAATCCATTTTCCCCCTATGTCTCATATCTTGGAATATGAGAGACTTAGATAAAAACCAGGCATATATTCAGATTGCTCACAAGAAGACAAACCGTTTGATATGTCACACTCCTTGGCTGGAATACATAGGAAAGCAGAAAATTACATCTCTTGAACCATTCAAGTATGCCTTCCATATTTCTTATCTAACCGTTCCGCAGATGCGTCTTCATATTAATCTACCCGTGGGTGGAATGTTACTTGTGCCTAGGAAAAGTTATGAGCCAAAATATAAGCTAAGAGAGATTTTGGTTCTAGCTTGGGTCTCCGCCTAGACACCCCTCCCCAAATGAGGCATTGGTCCTTGGCTTCAGAGACACCCCCTGCTGGGGGACCACAAATTAGGCTGTCAGGCCTAAGAGTGGAAGTTGAAGAAATCTCCCTTTTAACATCAGAACCAACTTGGGAGACAGCGCCCTTTTGCTCTGAAACTTGATCTGCTTAACCCAGGACTTTTGGCAAGTACTCTACCTCTCTAAACTTCTTTCGGTTACCTCTTTGCTGTGTTATTGCTCTCTGTATTTATATGTATATTGGTTACATCTTTTTTCTGTAAATATTTTTATTGCACCCTTTTAACCTTTTAGTAATAAATCTTTCTTTCTGAAAGTGTTGAACTGTTTCTAAAGCTCCTTAATGCAACTTACGAATTCCTGCCGCTGAAAAGCACTACTATGTGTGTTTAACCCTCTGTATAACCTGTCTTCAGTGATAGTGATATACAGACGTTTATTTCAACCATCAAGTTTCCTCTTTCTCTGTACTAAAAGGAGGTGGTGGCAGTGTGAAGGGTTAATTGCGTAATTAACCTGACCCAGTAACAATCGCACTCAGGCTGCCGGTACATAGATGTGTGGTCCATTAGCTGGAAAAAATCGTTGTGCAGGGTGCAGCTGGGCATGGCCTTGTTACGCACGTGACATCGCGGTTTTAGATTGGCTAGTCCTTCGGTCACGAGTTTGGTGAGAAGGGCTGGGATCTGACGCGCGATCGTCACAGAAGGCACTGAAACTGATAGTGGGACTGAAATGCAGGATGGATTGGGACTTGTAAGTAGGCAACTGATAAACCTACAGAGAGAGTCCAATCTCCCAGATTTATCAATAATAGAATTGATTGGAGATTCTCCATCTCAAACGACTCCAACTTCATATGCTTGCTTGCTGATTTTTTTCAAGTTTAGCACTGGGCACAGAATGCCTGATTTTTTTTTTATTACTAGGGAAAGAGGTGAACAGAACCTTCACTATTTCTCATTTTTTAGTTAATTTGGTCCAGAATTATTTTCTCTTGCATTGAATCCAGTAGCCTGGGTTGCTGGAAATGATTGGAAGATAGGTTTTCCTTAAAAATCCAGCAATGTCACACTGATATAGACATTATGGCCCACTGACCCTGAATAATTTTCATCCAGGTGTGTGCACAAACAGGCTCCCATAGGTACCTCCTGGATGAATGCATCCTTAAAAGGACTTCTACTGTTCTTCCACGACAGGTGGCTTTAATGTCTAAGAATTAAAAATTCTTCAGTTGACTTTGTCATCTTTTCCCAGTTTGTAGGATTTTGCCTCCTCTGATCTATCAGGGATTTGACACCTGTGCACTGGTCCTTTCTAATTATTCTGTTTTTTGTGAAAATGATGCCTCTGCCACAAGGCCTCCCACAAATTTCAGCTATTGCAAAGCTGGTTCCACCTTGTCTCTCTCCACTTTATCCAGTTTTTTATGTTAGCTGTCCCCCTCTATATCGTCTGCCTACCGCTGCAATGTTATTGTTAGTCAGCAGGCACCTCCAGATGCTACATAACAGCGCTTGACCTTGGGCATTTTCGGAGGATGCAGTTTTGACAAACTGGTTTTCATACAGGCCTTTACCTCTGGCCCCTGTCATTTATCCTGGATTAGCTCCTCCAGTCCCTCAATAAAGGAAATGAAAAATGGATATTTATTGATATTTAGGAAGTACTTTTTAACCTTGTGGAGAGTTTCCTCCACTTCACCTCAGACTCCGTGATCCCAAACCAAGCATAGAGAAGGAGCCCGAGATAGGAAGAGCCCAGGTGAATGCCATAAAAAGGGAAATAATATCTGCAGACAATGACCACATAAGCATCCAGCATGCATGAGTAGAGAACACCACCATGTGTTGCCCCAAAATGCCCTAAATCCATTTAACAATGGCACTCCTAACCATCAGTGATGGTATCACTGCCTGAGCATTCTCAGATCACAACCTGTGGCTCTTGGCACCATCTTGGAAAAGGGCAAGCCAGGAAAAATGGCCCACAGTGGTGCAAGTACACACTTACTGTTCTCAGTGTGTACTTGCACCACTGAAGCCATCTTGGAAATGGCAAAGCCCACTACACAAACAAGCGCAGGAAAAAAACACTGACAAACAGAGAAAAGATGGAAAAAACAAGGGAAAATCCTGACACTTATTCTGAAGCTTGGTTAAAGCTTTCTTTGACAAGCCCGAACCACCGTAATGGGGCTCCAACTGTTTAGTTCATTTAGAGGCTGAACATGAAGAACTTCAACCCAGGAGAGGCTGAACCTGGCTGTGGTCGACAAGCGGTATGTAGGGTTGCCACTTCATCCCTTTAAAACCGAACACAACCGAACACATATTGATTACACAGGTTCTGAGGCTAATGTAGATAAGGCACCAAGTGAGTTTAGTTTCCACCTTAATCAGCCACAGAACCTGTGTATTTAATATGCGTTCGGTTTTAAAGGGATGAGGTGGCAACCTTAGCGGTAAAGGATACCTCGTGAACCAGTCCTGATCAGGTGATGCCAAAAAGGAGAATGCTGCAAGCTGGGTCTATCTTTGATTTGTATTAAACCAGCCCTATCAGGTTATTGGGGCAGATACTACAACCCATTGTGTGCTGCCATGATGCGCCAGCAAATAATTTTCTGATGCACAACACATTATTTATTAGT